GTAGGAAGCTTGTGCTTTACTGTGATTTCTTCATTAAAGGATAATTTTATTCATATGGATCCAGAAAGATCTAATGCTAATCCTTTTGAATTAATGGAAGCTGTACTGATCTTTCTCCTATGATAGTGAGAAGGGACAGATTACTTTTGATTGGAAAGGGGCATTAGGCAACAGTCTGAGTGAGGGACAGAGCTATGGATCATCTGATTGGTCCTCCTCCAATGTTAAGTATACCCCTTTTAAGAGAACTAATTATTCAGCTGCCCTTTATTTGGGTTGTGAGTAATGATACCTTAGGTAAGAATCAGAAAGAAATAAATTGTTCTGCTTAGAATTGTTTTTATGCATTATGCTGGGATGCTATTAAGCACCCTTTTGCTTTGGTAATGCGCATGCCTCGATTTATTCCAGCTCCTGTTGAGGCGCCAAGTAATTTGAGTTTGTTTAGGGAAAAGCGAGATTTTTGGGATCTCTGCTATTATTGTGGGCCTGATAGCCACCGCCGCGGTTACTGCTTCGGTTACCGCCTCGGCCCTTGCACTTTCTGCCACTGTGCAGACAACTCAAACCATTAATGAACTATAGGCCACTGTGACCATGGTCCTAGATAAACAGGCCACTGCCAATTCTCAGATACAAGGAGGCCTGATGTTGGTAAACCAACAGATTAATTTGGTTCAGGAACAATTGGATATATTGTGGCAGATGGCCAAATTGGGATGTGAACAAAGTTGCCTGGCCTTTGTGTCACTTAGTACAATATGAGAATTTTACAAGAGCAGCTAACCTGTCAAAAGCTCTGTCTCAACATTTATTACAGAATTGGACTTTTGAGTTTGAGCAGACACTCCGTGAGTTGAGAATGGCGATCCTGCAAGTGAATTCGACGCATCTGGATCTTTCTCTGATGGAAGACCTCTCCCCTGGATTTCATCTGCATTTTCTTATTTTAAGGAATGGGTGGGGGTAGGATCATTTAGCCTAGTTCTCTGCTGTGGAATAGTGTTGATGCTTTGGATGGTGTGTACGCTCAGAGCCCAAACAAAAGGAGAAAGTGGTGGTGGCACAAGCACTTGCTGCCTTAGAACACGGAGCATCCCCTGACATTTGGTTAACCATGTTAAAGCAATAGGTCGCTGGCCTCCCAGCTCTTGCACCCCACGAGGCTAGTCTCATTGCACGGGATAGAGTGGGTAGGCTTCAGCAGCCCAAGGAGTTGCAAGGCTAAGCACTGCACAGGAGAGGTCTGCGGTATAACGACTTTCTCCTGGGAGATAAGTCATCTTGCATGAAGGTTCTATGTCATGATCTCCTTCCCCCAGAAAAAAGACATCGGACTGGTCAGGACTTCCTCTGGGGATAAGACCCTGGAGAGGAGCTTTGTACATGTTCCGAATTTGCACATGGGGATTTGACCTCTATCTCCACTCCAAAGTTGTGGGTGTCCTATTGCTTCAAAAATAAATGAATAGGGGAGATGTGAGGAGCCGCCCTCGCTATCGCTATTGCCGTTAGAAGATGGCGCTGACATCCACTGTCAGTTGGAGTTAACTGTCGCTGTCAGTTGGAGTTAACTGTCGCTGTCAGTTGGAGTTAACTGTCGCTGTCAGTTGGAGTTAACTGTCGCTGTCAGTTGGAGTTAACTGTCGCTGTCAGTTGGAGTTAACTGTCGCTGTCAGTTGGAGTTAACCGTTTAAACTGTGCCTCTCCCGTGACGTCATCTGGGGTGATGTGCAAACCACCAATCCCGGCTCTACACATCTCACTCGGAGCTCCTAGGCTTATATAAGGGGCTGGGTTTCTTAGCTTGGGGTCTCCCTCTAAGAAGCTGATCATCTATCTCTCAAGATGCATTAAAGCTTTACTGCAGAAGGATCCGAGTGTTCTGCGTCGTTCTTGCTGGCGAGACGGTAGCGCGGGACAATACCCAATGAATTTTACCCAGGTGTGAAACAAGGGAATTGTCTAATTTATAGAATAACGGTTAGAACTAAAAACAAACATACAAAAAACAGATTAAGTGTGGAAACTCAGATTCAGAAAGATGAACTATGTGTGTTGTCCCTCATACTAGAGTCTTAGCTTTGAATTTTATATGTGTACTTATGAGGGAGTGAGTTTCCGTACAGGCCAGGAAGCAGGAAACGGGCTATAAGAGGGGTGAAAATGAGATTTTTGCAGATGTTAGTTAGTAGAATAAGGTAATATGAAAGTAAGGGAGGAAATAGTAAGGGTAAGAAACACTTAAGCAGAGATGGGGCAGGGAGATCTGAGAGGAGGGGGTGAGAGGGTAAAAAGTAAGGATGTATAAGAAAGCCGTAAGGCAACTTCCTACTGTGTAAGCTAATTAAAAATTTAATTCAAAAACAGAAAACAAGGAAGTGTGAAAGCACTGCCCTGTCCTGGTGGATACAGCTGTTCCCAGGCATCACAGGTGATTAAACAATAATCCTAGTATCAGAGGTCCGATATCTCCCTGAGTTGTTGGTCATGAAGGCTCCCAAAGCATCCCTCAATAATATAGACAATTGTCACTGCTGTTGGTTGCGCACTTGTAAAACCATTTTGTTGAGGATACTGCACTCTCAAACAGAAAGACACTGAGAAATGGAACTGAGCTAGAAGCTTCCTCCCTGCTAGCTAGCCCTTATATTATTAGCAGGTTCTTTTCAGGCTGCTAGAGGAAAACTGTTAACTGTCTTACTCAGCTGTGACCCTGCATGCTACATTAGCAACAGCCAAACCAGATATGTTTCTTGGTGCAACAGTAGCATGTCTCTTATTGGGGCAACCAACCCCTTCCAGACTAAATTTGAGGCTTACTTCATGGGAGAAAATGCATGCCTACTCCCAATTTAGTTTACAAAGCCCATTCTATGAAGGACACAGGCCTTAGGTGGTAACCTAAGTCAATAACATTGTTAAACGGACATGTTCTCCCTCAAAAAATTTTCTGAGTATTTCATTTCTGCCCACCGATTAATGATACCATCAGCTTTGATCAGAAATGTTTCTTTTGTAATAGATATTAGGTATTGCAGACATCTATAACTGGTGATATTGAGTGTTCAGCACAAAATGAGATGTCTACTCATAGCCTGCAACAGGTAGGGAACAGTGTGGTAGAGAAAGGAGAAAGAATATCAGGATCGGAGAAAGAGAGGAGCACTGTGGAATAGTGTTCAAAGTGTGATGTAGCGTTCACTCAACTCACAGGAGGTGTGACTGTCTAAACAAGATTATGCCTGTCCACACTCCATCACGGACGGAGGGAACTCATCAGACCCCACCTCTCCCTGAGGATTCAGAGGCAGCTTATGGCTTCTGAGACAGAAGGAGTCATAGTTCATGGTGTAGGCCACTCACCAATTGCCCATGATGCTACAAATAACCCCCTCCCATGTTTGTAAACAACTCTAATGACACTCACTGGATCACGCACATACAAAGACTTGGTAGTAGGAGAGGGACTGGCTGGAAAGTAGGAAAGCATCGGTGGGAGGAGGGAACAACGAGAGAGACTATGTTCAAAATACCATATATATATTTCTAAGATTGTCAAATAAAATTAGCTATGTTTTAAAGATGAGAATGTTACTAGTACTGTATTGAAGCTATGGTAGACCTCGACAAATACTATGTATTTCCTCTCATTCCTGACACTAGGCCCTTCAGCATTTAGTTACCAATATAATTCATGCATGACTATGAAGGAATCATGGGGCACTTTAAGAGTCTTTGCAAATATAATAGGAACATGTTTTGCTTCTATGAAACCATCACTGTGGTAAAGCATGGTGAGGTGAGCTGTTCTCTTTTCAAGCCTTGACCTAGTACAGTTGTTTGAAAAAATGTGCTCATCTATGAAATCTTTATAACTCCATGAAAAATAAACATTAGGAAGAAATTAGGCAATAGCACAAGACTTAGCTTCTTTCTGGTCATTACACAGCTTACAAATCAGCTTAAAAATGTACCTGGTCTATCTCCAGTTAAACTCGCTTCTGTACCCTATCATATATTCTTCCATATTTCCCCCATCACATCATCTCATCTCTTAATACGGCTTAAGACAAAACAGAGAGAATATCATTTCTATATCACTGACTCACTTTGAAATAGCAGCTGAGCTGCCACTCTAAATAAAGATGGAAAAAAAGCTGTAGTCAGCAGCCAAGAGTCAGGAGACAGCCTGCAGCCTCATCACCATGATGCTTGTCTGTTTCTCTCTTGTTACACTTTGTAACTTAGACCTTGCATCTGAACCCATTGAGACTGAAATCATTGCCTGTATCTCAAGAACTCCCAGAGACCTAGCATTCTAAGTGAAATTCCCAAAGAAACTGGACTCAAGGGCCACCAGATTTCCAAATGGTCATATTTCACCCAAGTAGCACATTCAGTCTTGCTTCAAGTTGTAGCTGTGGTCAGGAATGGAAGCCCATACAATGTCAGAAGGCCTATGATGGAGGCTGGTATGTTCTACTCAACCTAGAACAAACAGAGACAGCAGCAGCCATACCTGGTTCTCTTTTCTAGACATACTCCATGATCTCTACTACAGTTCTGTCTCAGATCTAGTGCAAGAGGTTATCAGGAACTAATGCTGGCCTATGATGTGCCTGGAGAAGAAGGGACAGCCTCCAGGCTGTATGAGCATAAAGCATTTGCTTGTCACAAAAAATCTGGGTTCCTCTTTTTCTTATCTTTTGGAAGTCATAAGAACCCGTCTCAAAATCATCATGTTCATTCATACCACTTCTTGAAAAATTAAACATCAGATGAAAAGATCTTGTAGCTACCCTGACATGATGTGTCATCAAAGCTGCACACACTGACTGGTAAAGACATTACAGTTGGATAAAATACCACATGCTTTGCAGGCATTTCAATGTGAGCTTTAAAATGACCCCTCCCTCACAGGAAGGAGAAACCTACCAATCTGTCAGTCAGTGAGAGGCTAACCTGAGGGAACTCCAACTGTACAAGACAAAACTTACCAGGATTGGGTTGAAGATATTCAATTGTTTTAGTCATTATTTCCATCACAGCCCTGCTGGTGACATCCACTTTCTGAAATGATAAAAAAAAATGTGATAGATGGCACAATCATTTGCTTTAGAGACTGAAGTTTCTTTCTGAAACCTATATGGGACACCAGTATGGCAATCAAGCAGTGACAAGCTCTGTAGGAACAGGTGAGACACTGTGAGGAGCAGCTACAGGGAAAGATGACTTCGTGTTGAGCACTGTCTGTTGAAAAGTCTATCCACCCAAGAAGGAAACTGGTAATTTCCCCAAATTTGCTTCAATGTAAACTTCATTGCCTTTCAGCAAAATTAATAGAGTTTGTCAGTAACATTTTGTCTTCACCCTGTTACTAGATGCCATGAATGGGCCAGGCTTGGCAACAGGTTTCTTTTCCAATAGGAGTAATGCTGGGCTACCCAGGTGACTCAACAGATAGAGCTTAGCAGCCAGCCTGGAGACCTGAGATTAAGTCCTGGAGTCTACATAAATGTAGACGGGGAGAAGTAACTCCTCACAAAGCTGGCTTCTGACCTCCATACTCATACGACGGCATACATGCTTCCACGTGTGTGCCATGCGCACGGTGGGGGATAAGAAGTAAGATAACAACAACAAGAATACTTTAAAAAGAGTGTATCTTCAATTCTGCGTCTACTGTCTATGTACATTCTGACATCTTCAGAATAGAAAAGCCCTCAGTAAATGCATCTAGTTGGTCCTGAACCTTTAAATAATTATAAATGCCAATTTCTGACACTAAAAATCCTGTCTCAGAACAGTGCAGATGGTCAGCATGTCCCCTAGCAGTCCATCCCACCCTCTCCACAAAGCCAGGGTAGAGCTGCTTTCTTTTCTCCATGAAAATCTTTTCTTGTTAGGCTGTAAAGGGTATTAATTCATACCACAGCTGACTAACGGGTATAAACCAGTTCCCCCTGCCATTGATAACATTTTGATTTATCACAAATGTTACTAACCAATATCCACAAATAACTGTGTTTGGTGAAATCTGCTTTGTATACAGTAAACCTCCTTCTCTTCTATATTATATCTTTTAAAATAACTTATCTTATTTGTCTTTTCAATATTTAATAACTTCTTATCCCACCGAAGTCATAATACAGCAGGAAGTTGTGATTACATGGATAAGCAAAAACACATTATTTTTCTTGTAACACTGTAATGACAGTGGTGTAAAACAACTTTTACAAGTATTCTCTTTAGGATGCACTAGCCTGCTGATGAACTCTATACAAACCACTGTCCTTTTGACTGACTCACAATTTTACGATACTTGAGGCTTGGATGAAAAGTGCTAAAGGAATGGCAACTCCCTGGAGCAGAGCCCTTTGAAAGGAGGTCATGGCAGATTCATAAAAGTGCCAGGAAACCTTATGCACTCAAGTCATAGAATGCTTGATGCCAGTAGAAAGAGCTCAAGGCTGTATACAGAATAAACATGCTGAAAGTGTAGAGAACATGAGAGGACAAACAAAGATCTATTGTTGACTATAAGACAGACTGGGATTGAGGAATGAGATGCCAAATGTATCCAGTGTCCTCTGGAGCCATGGCAGGAAGCAATGGAGTCCAAAGGTCAAGGTTTCTAAGAAAGAAAGCATCGGAAGCCTTGATATTTGAACCACCTGATGTCCATTTGATATTGTGGTGCCATCTTCTGCTAGGTGGATGACATGCTTATAACTTTTCCCATCTTTCTCTATAATAAAAGAATTTTAAAGCATCATTAAATGAAGAAGAAAACAGATATAGGGAGATTTAGAAGCTTGCTACATACTGCTCTGCTTTTCCTGAAAATGAAAGGTCCTGTAACACAAATAACAAAAAACCCAGAGACAGATACTGGTGTGGGTGCCACCACTTCCCTGCTTCTTTGGCTATGGCTAGATCTGCATTCTTATCCCAAGGAAAGCCTTATTAAATAATAAATACTATATCACCACAAGTTCCCCACAAGAAGAAATGAGGTTATGCTTCTCTCCAATCCCAGAAGGTACCACACCAGGTCTGGAAGGCACTTTGTACTATTCCTAATTGGGGTTAGGAACCTGAGAGGAGTAATCAAACAGGGTCAGGAACAAAGAACTGTCACCCTAACCTCTGGTTGGTTATGAAAGTTTATGGTGATATCCTGCTTGTACACATAAAGGCTGTTGAAGATCATAAAATGGAGCTTGCCACTAGTTAACTATATAGGTCTGGAGGTCTGTACAGACAGACAGGAAGTGAGATGTCTGGGCAGAAATAGGAAGTGAGATGGCTGGGCACAGAGAGGAAGTGGGATGACTGCGAAGAGAGAGGATATAAGAAACAGGAACACGTTCTCTTGTCTATTGAGACAGGGTAAGGTGTGGCTGTGGCTTGCTCCTTCTCTCTGATCTCTCATCATTTTCCTTTATATCTGACTCTGGTTCACATTATTTAGAGCAATTAAGAACTCCATTTTGCAAAAGTCCTCAATACTTATGGGACTTTCAACTGCAGTAAATATCTGGACCTGACCCCACAGAAGTGACACTGCCATACTGACTTGCTGGGCCATTTATCCCCAACTCTTCTGCCTTCTCAACAGAGGCTGCAGCAACAATGACTGAGGTACATTGTCCATAAGTAGGTTAGCAAGAAAGATATGGGTAGAAGTTCACAGGGATCAAGTCAGTTGTCCCAGATCTCCAGGGACCTTAGTGACAAACTGTTAATAATATTATGTTTGGTCCCCAGAGTAGAATTCAATATTAAAATGGAATGGAGACAAAAATATCTCAGAGTTCCCAATGGTCTTACCAAAGTCTTTGAAGAAGTTAACACATTTTTTTAACTCTACTTACTAATGCAGACACCTCCAGTACTTGTTATCAATATAAGACAAGTTCCATCAGAACTAATTGATAGCTGTATACTAAAATCTTCACTTGAAATTCACTTTCTTTAGTTTTATAAACTTTATTATAAAAATTGGCATAAAACATCACACACCAAAATTAACCAAACCCAATGTCTATACAACTCAACAAACTGCTATACAGTTAGAACAGGCATTTGGAACAGAAGCTGTGTAGGTTCACATTAAACTTTACACTTTCAGCACAGAATATATTTTAGGCACTTATCACTTTAGAAAAGATCTTCATCCAATGTGGTTATTTCTGTGGTTCCTTTTAAGGACAGAGGCATGACATGGAATAGCCATTAGCAAATTCTTCCATTGGCTCTTTACTTTTATTGGGTTCTGCTGGGCTATTGCCTGATAGAGATAATGGACAGGAGAACAAGAAATCAGTAGCCCAATCCCTGACCTTTAAAATGTACAACTCAAAGACTCAGAGAGGGGAAATGAACTTCCCAAGCTCACATAACTAGTGACAGGATTATGAAAGGAAAGTCCTCCCAAGGCCATAGATGGAAGTCAATGGTCTAATGACTATTCGCTATCCTAAAGACATCTTCCAGGACTAATCTCTGCCTTCCATTTCTTAACCTTAGGACTCTGGCTAAACAGACTGTATCAGACAATGACAAACCAAGAGCACCAGTGGTGACAATCCTTAATACATCTTGGTAGGTTCCTGCTAGGGAAGCCATTCATATACTTAAATGAGCAATATCCAGTCATATATTCTCTTAATGCTAAATCTGGTAACGTGAGCATAAAGATTTATCATTTATTAAAACAAACAAGAGCTTAATTACATGTAAGAACAGCACACTTTACTTTGAGCTTCTGATGTATACCTGCTTGTTTTTACATTGTCCAAATCTCCTAATCTGAAAATGACGTTTGATATATTCTTTTTTTTTTTCTTTTTGTTCTTTTTTTTTTTTTTTGGTTTTACCAGACAGGGTTTCTTTGTATTGTTTTGGAGGCTGTCGGTCCAGCCCGACCTCGAACTCACAGAGATCCACCTGCCTCTGCCTCCTGAGTGATGGGATTAAAGGCGTGCGCCACCACAGCCCAGCTGACTTTTGATATATTCTTAAATACAACATCTTCTAATTTGGAGAGTTCCCAAGCCTCAGTTTTTAGTTAACCTTACTTTGACTGGGGAAGTACAGAATATCGTTCTGGATATGAAGCATCTCCCCAGAATGTTCATGTACTGAAGACTTGGGGAGCCACTTAGTGCAAGGTGGCTGAGTCATGAAGGCTCTGCTATGACTGATGGGGTTAACTCACTAATGGGCTCACAACTATTGCAAACTGGTGAAAACTATGGAAGTTGGGGCCGGCTTTGAAAAGTGGAATTGCTAATGGTATGCTTTTGACGGTTGTACTCATCCCAGCCCCTCCTCTTCTCATCTCTGCATCCCAAGCATCCCGCATTGCACAGCCACCTTAAACCATGTGCTGCTGTTGCCATGACGCTTTGCAGCACATTAAGCCAAAAGCAATGAACCAATCAGCTAACCTTGGAATGAAACTTCAGAAAAACTGCGAATCAAAGGAATTAACTTGTTGCTCTCAAGTATTTGTTACAGCAATGGATTTTGTTTGTTTGTTTGTTTGTTTCAGTTTCTACCACGGAATGGGGGGGCCACTGGGGAAGATTGTTGAAAGAAAATGGACTGTGAATGTATACAACATAGGCTGGTATTTAAGGACTGTAAGCCCATGTGTAAAGTACGGCCTTCTTTATAAGGCAGACTCATAGGCACACATTCTTCACAGATTCTGGTCTGCTTGCTTCCATCTTCTTAATGCCAAGGTTTTAGTAACTCTCAGTACTTTAGACTCTTTTTCCATTGACCAGTCTTGAAATGTATAACTGTGAGTCCAGAGAACAAACAAACAAGCACATGGCTCTCTTGGGATGGGCCAATAGCTCAGTGGTAAAGTGTTTGGCACGTAAGTCCAAAGGCCTGAGATGGAACTACACAACACACCAGATGCACTAGCACAACCTCTTGATCCAATGTGTCCTACTGGGAGATGGAAGTTAAGACAGGAGCCTTAGGTTCACAGACCAGCTAGCCTGACACACAGCTGTAAATAGGAGACACTGTCTCAAACAACATAGAAGCTG